TTAAAACTTGAATAAAAACCAGAATATTATTTTTACATTCCATAGATATTCACTGCTATGAATCAACAGTAAATGAGGCCAAAAATTTGCCTTATAGATTATTTAAAGTTACTCTTTAAAGAACAGCTTTCTACATGATGAGCAGAATATAATTAAGGCAGGATTGTGCAATATTTCTTATCCTGATGAGGATCTCGAGGATACTTTAGGATTGATTGATTCCTTAATTTTGAAAGAAATGACAATGCTGACATTTGGACAACTTTTTAATTTCTTCAGCCAAAACCACATTTTTGGCAAAGCAGCTCTGTCATCCTGCCACTGAGGCTCTAATTACACTAGTACTTTTTCTCTGATTTCACCTCCCCCCCTGTTTCCCTTGATTATTACCATTGCATCATTTCCACTGGCAATAACAATGGTGGATGTAGTCAATTAGACCAGTAAGTCCCAGGCTATTTAGGCCGAAACTCTAATATTTTGGCAGTAAGAAGTCATTATAGTGGAAGGCTAGCAGAAGATCAAATTGTCTAAAGATAATGTTCCTCCTGCATTTTTAGAGGTCTGTGAAAAAGTGAAAGGGCAAAAGCATTAAATAGAAAGGAGGTAATTAGAATAACCAATTATATTTTGTGCCAGTGCTGTCTGGAAAAATTCAGGGAGAAAATATCCTGCTAGATTAGCAACAAAAAAACTCTAGCTGGGTGTCCTGGTGCTTTTCAAGATATATTCAGTGGGAAGATCATAATATCTGGATATCATTCCCTTCATGTGCAAATAAGATGAAGGGTGTACAATTAGGGTGGAAATAGGAACTTAATTACACCAGAAAGGAGGATTAGGCTACAGAAGGGGGGGAAAATTACATTACTTTTTACAACTTAAAATAACTGTAGATTAAATATTTTTTTTCAGAGGCTGAATAAATGAAAAGAAAGGAGAAACATTTCTTCAGTTAACTTTTCCAGCTCTAAAATTGTGAATAAACAGATTGAGGCCATTTATAGTCTATGCCAAAATTAAAGTGATCAGGCATGGTAATCTTACTGTTAAATCTAGGGTGTAATGTTTTGGGTATATTTGGCAATTTAAGACTTGTAGCACTGCCTCCATGCTTTTGAAGTAGTTCTGTACTTTGAGTTATGATCACTAGAGGAAGATGACATATGATTTATGAGGGGAAAGTTATTTCAAGTGACTTTTACTAAATCAAGAGTGATTTCAAGCAGACGAGAGCTATTGAGAAAACATTATTTTCTGTTTATGTGACCTATGAAAAACTCATATTTGAAAAATTTAGAACTATTACTCTCTCTCTCTCTTTCCTTAGACACCCAGCTTCACATTCGCTATGGGGTGTTATTAGATAAATTCCCATCTTTGGTAGGGGTCAAGCAGCTTTTTCAAGAAAATCCCAGAACTAAAAATATTTGAGTAAAATTTCCTTTCCTTAATCTGTGGTCCAATGCAGAGAAACTATACTGATGGGAAGATTGTAATTAGACCTTGTTGGACTGCCATGGAGAGAGACCACAAAAAGACTCTTTCACTATGCTTTTCCTGAAGTGACTCCTTATTTATTTTGTGCCAAGTGTTAAAGGCACTGTCTAGTTCTGGGTATGTTAATAGTATAGATCAAAGGTGGACAGGTGGGGTAAAGACCTTTCTAAAAGAATTTGGAGGCACCTCCTTACCTAGGATTAGTTTTTCTAAAATATTTACCTTATATGAAGGTTAATTATTAAAGGAAAACTGTTGATTCTTCAGAATAATAATTTAATACAATCCACAAAGGGGTTAAACTCCATCAGAAGTGTGAGAAATCCTTTCCCAACTCCTAATTCTCATCTTAAATTGATATCAGTTTTGAACACTGGGCTCCTGAGAGCATTTTTTGCGGGCTGCTGCAGTAAGCCTGTAGACACTTTCACATAAGTTAGTTACAGCTTTTTATGAGCAATAATTATCAATGGCCACATGATAAATATGCCTTGTATCTGTCCTTTCCCAGTAAGGAGGAAATGCTGAATAATGTCAGGAAAAAACTGCCATCTTCTCAAATTACAAGATGAACTCCTTCTATGTTCTAATGCTAGGGAGCCCCTGAATGGCAAGAAAGGATATAGCATCATTTTGCCATTATTCTTCTTGTGGTCTTATGCACGTAAACACACACTCTGTCCCTCTCTGTACCCCCTACATATTTATATCCATATGTAGAAGGAGAGTTGTATGAGTCTTTCTATGGATATTATCGTATCTCAGCTCCATCTATAGATATATATAGATCTATGCATATATCTGTTTGGGCTTTTGTTGCTCATTTGATTTGACAGGGATTCGGCCCGATTCGGCGGCCGAATCTCCAAATCCAAATCAAATCAGGAGACCCTTTAATGTTTGTGAATCGAATTGGAATGCTCCAAATTGATTTGGGGAGATTTGATGTTTCGTACGTAGACACAGCTTTAAATGTTTTTTTTCTACATACCTCAGGGTACCAGGTGGCTTGTGAATGCTGAGATCCTAGGGTGGATGGAGCATCCTATGTGAGCATGGGCAGGGTCCCCAGCACGTTCAGCGGTGGACCCAGAAGTGGACCAGAAGCACTTCCGGTCCACTTCTGGGTCCACCGCAAAGCACATACCCCGCCCCCACCCCGCGCTTTTGTAGGATGCTCCATCCACCCCACCATCACATCATTCACAAGCTGTGCCTCGTACCTTGAGGTATGTAGATAAAACATTTAAAGCTGTGTCTGTGGCCAAATAGCAGCCTTCCCAGGGGTGCTGGTGGGTCCCCAATCTGCCTGCTGGCTGACAGAAGCTGGGTGATGCTGCCTGGGCCAGCAGGGCCAGGACAGATCAGCTTGGGCGGAGGAGGGTCCCCACAACAGCTGATCTGCCCCAGGCTCTGTACCCTCCTGGAACCAGCTCTGGTACAGGGCCAGGACAGATCAGCTCATGTGGGGATCCACTGCCCTGGGGTGAGTGAGGGTCCCCACACCAGCTGATGATTTGGCCTGGGCCTTGCACCCACATGGAACCGGTTCCAGTATGGGGACGGGGCAGATCAGTTCGTGTGGGGACCCACTCCCCCCATCCCAGGGCAGGGAGTGTCCCTGCATGAGCTGATCTGCCCCAGGCCCTACCAGAGCCAGCTCCAGGTGGGGGTCTGGGGTAGATCAGCTGGTGCGTGGACCCTCCCCATCCCAAGATCAGGGCAGCAGGTCCACGCTCAAGCTGGTCTGCTCCGGGCCCTGCTGGCCCCAGGTGGCAGCATCCAGCTCCTGCCAGCCAGCAGGTAGATCAGGGGCCACCAGCACCCCCAGAAGGGCTATGGGAGCTGTTCTAGAGTCCTCCCAGGGGTGCGCGCCCCCAATCAGCCTGCCGAGTGACAGGAGCCGGGTGCTGCCACCTGGGGCCAGCGGCAGCACTGATCTTCCCAGTGCTGGGTGCAAGCTGTGCCCAGTGCTAGTCTGCCATCTGGCCTGTAGATCAGGGGCCCACAGCCCTCCCAGGGGTATGGGAAACCCCTGATCTGCCTGTCAGATGACAGGAGGTGGGTGCTGCTGGCTGGGACCGGCACTGAAGTCAGTAAGCCTGGCTTCAAAATTCAAAATGTTTCAAAACTTTTGAAACATTTTGAGTTCCCTTGTTTTGTTTCAAAGCTGTTTCAAAGGCTTTTGGTTTTTTTTCAAGTTCACTGTTTCGAACTCAAAACACATTGAAACAACTTTGAAACAAAACACCAGGTGAAGTTTTGTACAGCCCTACTCAGCAGTAAATCATTACAGTCTGCAAGTCTGCTGGTATTAGAGTGCAGTAAATTAATTAACTCTACTGTAGGATAGTCAGGGACTGTACTATCCTACCACAGAGTAATTTACTCTACCAAAACTCACATGTAGATGGTGACAGGGGCTGGGGGGGTCATTGAGTGTGCTATGTGTGGAGACTGCCTGCCATCTAGCTCTGCACTGTAGCACCCTCATGACCCTGCCAGCCTCCCTGTCAACTGATGCTGACCCAGAGCCTGAGGCTGATTCCACCCCCCCAGGTCTTCTGCTAGACTGGGACTTCTGCCCTGGCTCAAACTGCTGCAGTTCTGGGCACACATGCAGACACTGTGCCCAGGAGTAGATGATTCCAGCATGGACTGTGTTGAAGTTTATCATATCACCTCAATAATACATGTAGATGCACCCACTGTTTTCTAATGGTAAATGTAGGTCATTTTTTAGGTGAAAAATTAAACTGTTAGGCTTGTGTCTTCCAGTGTTCATTTACAGATTTACTGTAATTTGCTACATTTTTTTTCATTTTATTTAGCAATGTTATTACTGTATGTCAGTGTAATTGACTTCATTAAAAATGACTAATAGAAATGATAGGTGATTCCAGGGACTGGCAACTTTTTACATGTGTGGGCTGCAGTTTGTGACCTGTTCAACACTATGGGCCACTGGTCCTTTCTGTCCACTTCAGCGAAGTTGACTAGAGACTGCAGTAAGGAAGAACAGCCTTCCACACAGGTGGAAGAAGATGGATGGAGCATCCAGAGGTGATTGGTATGCCATTAACACTATGTGGACTGTTATTGATAGCTAGGAATTAGTGCACCTTTAATAAAATGTGGACTGGATTTGACCTTCACAGGCCAGATTGTATATAAATAGCCAAAACAAAGATAAGTTATCTAACCATGGGAATGTAGTGCTTTATATGTGATTTACTGAATAAAATGTTCTTTGATATTTGGCTATTGAGTCCCTTCCAATAAATAAGACACTTTGTACTTTATACTACTAGGGCCAAATCCTGGTTTCCTTGTCCATGCAAAGTTTTGCTGAATTCAGTAGGAGTTAAGATTTAACGTTTTTCATCCTTGCATATGCTGAAATATTTGTGACAAACTTCTGAGTAACCTAAGAAATGAACAAACAAAGCAAAATTTAAAATCAGATATACATTTTTCTAGTAGAGTAAACATGCATTTACCTGTCCTGCCTTTGCATTTTCACAAACAAATGTTTCATAGTATTTGGAAAATTCTGGTGCATGGTCATTTATGTCTAAAATCCTGATGAAAACAGATATTTGGCTGCTTTGCTTAGGATTATCTGGAATGAGACAACAAATCTCAATTCATCTAATGACAAAAATGTGGGTATCATATCTGTAATTATAAAGGAATAATGATGTTCAACTTTCAGTGGATGTATATTGAATATATTTTAAGGCCGTGCTTATTTGAAACAGGTTGCATTATTTTAAATGAAAGAAAAAGATAAAACCATCTGAGACTAAACTGACTTTCAAAGTTACCTATGAATCCATCTCAAGTGTTAATGCCTATTTTCTGTGTTGCTCAGCGCAGTGCTCAATAGCCTGTGTTAAGGTGTAGGGGACAGAAAAATTGTCTGGGTTAATTCAAAGCTCTTTCTAATTACAAAGGCAAGAAGTTTGCCTTTGACACTTTTGTCATTGATATGCATCAGAAGTAACCTCATAGTCTGAGCTATAGCAAATGAAAAAGGGTTTGCAGAGCAAATGTCAACAACTGGGACAGTGTTTAGAGAAAATTCCTTGCTTATCAGGGGGCGGAAAAATATGTGTATCTCTGAATGTAGGGCTTGTGCTATATCTGTCTAGCACAATGGCAAGCTTCATGGCTTCCCAAAGCTGCTAGGGAGGAGGAGGAAAAATGGGCTCATAGAGCCCATCACTAATATCTCAGTGCTCTCTATGGTGCCAGCACTGGAAAAAAATGAAAATGGCTGTATCTATGTAAACCTAATAAGGCTCAATGAAGCAATAAAGGTATCAATTGAAAGACACAGAATCACATTCTTTAGCCTGACTGGAGGAGAAGGATGTGCCATACCTTTATTCTGAGCAAAGCAGGGGACCCTGAATTTGTCTCCTGAAGGCAATTTTTGCCGCGGTCTCAAAAACTTATTCAGACTTTTGTGGGTATTTGAATGCTGCTCCACTTTCTCCAGCAATTCTCCCTGTACAGGGGCTGAGGGAGTGGTGTAGTGTGAAATGCTGGCTCTGGATCAATCCATGGAAGAAGATTCCATGAGAATCAACCATATGGGTTTTATGGCTGCTCTGCATAGCTGTAATGGACCTAAGGCTATAATTCTTTCATTTTGTCTATAGGCAAGAGAAAGTAAACCATAGTAATCTTTTTTTCCTAAAAATTATGTCAGAGTGTTCTAGCTCAATAGTACATTGATTTGTTTGATTGTAAAACTGAGAGAGCGATAGAGGCAATTCAAACATATAATATATTATAGAATTGTAACATTTTGAGTTGCAACCTTTTCTTTAAGGTATTTCCAACTTACTAATTTCAGTTGCTATAACGGTGATGTTGTGCCATGGAGTTTCCTCCCGGTCTAGTGACTTTGAGATGAATATGGATCCATTTCCTGAGTGGATATTGAATATTCTGTCAAGGTCAGTGTGTCGATCCACAGAATATCTGTAGGAATATAGTATATCATCATCCTCAGTACATTTTCAGCTTTGATTCCTAGTCACCCTTAAATGTTTTCCATTCTGCTTTAAGTTATTACCTTAACGTCTGTTGTACTTTATCACCAAAGCTTCCCTGTAATTATTGTAGGGAATAATTAGTGCAGAATCATGCAAATATTCAGGTAAAGTTATTTAAGCCCAGTGACAGGACAGAAGTGTAGTAAGTCCATATAGACAGCTAATTAATATGAAGAATTATTCAAAATATATTTTACCATAGAGATACATAAAACAATGCTCGAATAACAGCCAGTTAATTCAGAAGAAACTACCTAAGCAAACATGGGTGCCTCCTGTGTCATGGGCACTGAACTTGAGATACTATAAAGGGGCCTGAGTTTCAGAAACAGCTGAACATTCACCCTCTGAAAATCTTTGGTGTGTCCCTGGTTAAAATCACTAGAAAATATTTGTAGTGTCTTAACTTTTAATTTAGAGAACTGAAACTGCATCAAAACCTTAGTATTAAAGCACATTTGCATTTCTTTATTTATCTTTTTTATTTTAGAAAGAAGAGTAACTTATATGGATCTTCTGATTTATTGGAATATTGTATATGCAATTTATTTAAAGATGT